AGTAGATTGGAGTATATTCATGCTTTCACAAAGAGATAAATCCTATTAATAAATCACTGCAACTTGTCACAAAATACAACTCTATATCACCAATAGACGTAGATATAAATGAGACTAAGAAAATATTTGTTGCTTTCTCGATAAAGGTTAAAGGAAGAGACAATGTATCCTATATACTCTTTGAGTACATCGAGTACACGAAACCTCGGAGTGTAATGGAAGTACAATTTCATTACTAAGAAAAATCTATATCTAAATCCAAGAAGATAACGGCATACTCGCGTACGTCATTTACCCCCATTGTAAGTATATACGTAGCGCTGGGTGATAGTGAATAGAACATGTACATCTATTCAGACGCTAGAAGGACTAAAAACAAGCTAAATGGATTAAAAGGCAGTAAAAGGATCAGAGACTGACAACTAGCCAAACCAACCTACAATGGCTCCGTTCGAATCCGCCTCTATACCAGACTTGAATCAGTAAAATCAGGTTCAATTCGATGTTTGAAAAGGATTAAAGAGTGGAAAATATAAAAGTTATAGTAGTTTGAATAGTATAAACGTAAAACTGGACAAATTTAGTTTCTCGTAGAGTTCACAGTCGAAATGGAAATCAGGCTACTATTTTATAGATGATCATATGAAGGTTTCATAGTTTTTCTGTCCATTAAATGTTATTCTTGATGTTTTTAATATTTGAATAAGAAAAACAATTTTAGTAAATTGATTTAGAGCTTATTTTTGCTCAAAGATGATACAAAATTTGTTAGTGTTTATTGTTTATTGATTAGAATATAAATATTGACTAGAATAATCATAATATGTTCATTTTTTTTTGATCGAAATCAAAAGTACATTCTTGACCAGGTGCTTTAGTACCAAATTTAGCTTCCGTTGTTACTTTAGTTTTTGTTACTATTTCACTGCCTAAATGTTGAAGTTTTTCATCCGTAGAAATTTTATATATTTGAGACATAATAGAATCAATTTTTTCTGCTGCATAATATTGTTCTTCTTGAACAATTTTTGCTTTAACAATATTAGCTTGTTCATTAACTTTAACTATTTTAAATTGTGATTTTTCTATAATTTGTTCACGAGAAATTTGTAATTGTTTTTGTAAATCAGTTAATTCTTTTGCTTTTATTTCATCTAATTTTGAAATATATTCTTGTAATAATTTTTGATAATTTTCATCTTGTTGTATTTCTTGTTGTTTAGCATATTCTAATAAACGTTGTTGTTCTTGTTGAGTTTCATTACGAACATGTGAAAGTAATAATTCTGTTTCATTTGAAATTTTTTCTGTTCGTTGTTTTATTTTATCATCTAATTGTGTATGAACTTGATTTAATGTAATCATAAGTTCATCGACTTTTTCAGATGAAGATACATTAATACAAGAATGTGTTTCAGTATCTACTGTTGATTCAATATGAGCTGAACCGAATATAGCAGAAGTTTTTTTAATTCCTTTAGTATTAAATGATTCTTTTTGATGATAATCAATTTTATTTAAATTAGACTTTAATGTTTGTTGAAGTGTTGATGATAGCTATTAAATATAACAAAATTAAATCAAGATGAATTTTTCTATCTTCAAGTTTAAAAGTAAACGTTTTCAACTATTCAATAGTTTTCTTATCAAAACTTACTGAATAATAAGTTATTGGTTATATTGATTTCGAATATTGTTCTCAAGAATTCTCTTAGATTTTTATATGCTGGTTTTTTTTAGATTAAATAATATATTATCAAAATTGTTTTGAATCTACACGTATCAAAAGACATATTATCAAGTTGTCTATAAGTTGGTATGATCCTAAGTTTTCTGAAATATTATGAGAATTGAATTTCTTTGTAGCTATCATCGTTTGAAGGTCTCGCACATAGTAGCTTGTATGAAGAGTTTCATAGGTTCTAGACTTGGTATCTCCAAAAAGTAAACATTTCAAAATATTTTTGTATAGTTCATCATGCTTTGATAAATGTCTATTTTGAAACAATTTATAAGTCAGAGAAACAAAGTCTACCAACTATGAAACTTTTCATACCAATTATTGTTTGTGAGACTTCCAAATGAAGAAAGTTTCAATAAAGAATGCAAAAGGACGAGCTTTTGTGAAGAGTACGGCTCCACAGAAATCTCTAGCTGATGGACATATTAAAAATTAAAAGTTCGGAAGGTGACTATTATAGAGATATTATACTGTACTTCAATAGAACTGCGTTTATTTTGTAATCTATATCTACATTTTAATTGAGTCTTTATGAATATAAACTCGTGTCTGAATTCAAGAAAAACAAAAACATAGAATTTCTATTAGAATCTCTTCTGTTTAATGAATGTTTTTCAATCATTACAACATTATTGATTATTCAAAATTAGAATGAAAAATCTAGAAATCAGTCAAATAGTAACTTACCTTATTATCATCATCCCATATTGTTGAATATTCTTCGATATTATCTTCAAATTTGAATACATTTGGCTGTGTAGTGGGCTGTTGCTTATTTATTCTTGGTGAATTACGTGAAAATAGTGGAACATTTGATCTGGATGATGATAATGAATATCGTTTTGGTGATGTGTTTCTATCTATTATCGGCGGTATTTGACTACTTTTATCGAATTTTTTTACTTTACTACGACTTGAACCTGTACCCATGAAATAATATTACAATTATTAAACTCTCGATTAAATTAAAGAATAAGAATAATGTTTAATCTAAAGAATGGAAGAGTTTCAATGGGCAATGAATTTGATTTTCGACTGTATCCAATAAATTTGGAAATGAGTCAAATGTATTTCCAATTAACCTGACTGTAGATAAATAATAAACTATTTACAGATGAAGAAAAGTGTAAAATTCAAGTTCAAAACAAAAGAAAAAGTCAGCACAGCTGAGCAAGCTTAAAGGGAGAAAAAGCTTGCAAAGGTTTTTTTTTCTACTCTTTTAAAAATATGATTTTATTGATCGTTAGTTCGCTGTTGAAAATCTATTATATTCTTAAAGCGTTAAATTTTGAAGTGGAAACATAAGTAGAACAATTTTGCCAATTAATAGAGAGCAGAAACTCTAAGAAGAAAAGCAGTTTTTCCGATTGGTTATAATATTATTTTTCTTTTTCTCTTGAACCTTGACAACATTGATTTCATAAAATACACACTAAAACATCTCATAAATGATTGCCATCACAACATTTGAAAAAAAATGTTCATTTATGAGAGCTATTATCTGTATTTTGTTTTTGTTACGAGATGAAATGAAGTTTTACAATAAAAACTACTTGACTACCTTTGAATTCTCAAGCGTTTCAGTAGAATATAAGAGTTTGTTTTGTTTCAATGTTGTCTTTATGTTTCGGTTGTGATTGATATAAGTTTGATAAACATTTCTGTACAATTTATTGAAATATATTATATATTCAGCAATTTTTAATATGTCAAAACTTTTGAATATTTGTTTTATACTTTCCTTTTAGTTTTTTTTTTTTGATAATTATCTAAATAGTTGTTTTTTAAAGAAACTAAATTAAATGTTCAATAGAAGGTATAAACTTTAGTATTTGATAGTTATTATGTTTTCCTTAGTTAACTAATTGTTTATTCGATCATTTAATAATTTGTGGATGAGCATGAGTATTATTCTCAGAAAGGCCAACATTCCTGCTCACATCTGTTATTATAATTAATTAATTTTGTTCTACTTAATGTAAGATGATATGATGATGTGATTGATTGCTTTCACTAATATGTACAATGATAATAAATAATGAAGAGTAGTTTTAGTTCATTAGCCAAAAACGATGAAGAGTAGAGGGAGAAAAAGAAGCGTGTATGTGTTCATTCAAAAGCAGTGAAAATAGCAATTGAGATAGTGAAAAAAAAATGCAAGGTCAGAGCAAGCAGACGTTTCTCGGTGGCAGATGCATTTTCAACAAAAAACATTACATGGAATCAAGATTTTATTCAATCAAGTTTTATTCTATGACATCAAAAATTTTCGATCTTATACAGCCTATTTTCAGACTAATCCCGTTTGACAAAAGACGATAATATACATTTATATTATTATACAATCAATGAATCACATTCATTAATTTCTTTTTATAAATTTTCATAATAGTGAAACCTTTATTGCAAGATACTGAATGCTTTCATTTATTATGTATCGTTTCATTTTTATTTTAAATTTGAAGACTCAAATCATTTTATACGTTGTTATTATTATATAACAGAATGTGAAACTTGAACATTTATTATACTTTTTAGTTGTATGTATTTTTGATAGATTTCGATATTATCTAAGGATCTTACATGCGTTATGATTAGAGCGTTTGCATTGCATTTTTGAGTTAACTTATCACATTATTGAAGTACTTTTATTAACAACATAGTCTATCGATTGACGTACTGTTACTTTTTGAAATATTTTCGAGTTCTTAAAGCTTATTATGTAAAGTCAAATTAAATGATTATAAGAGTATTAAGTTATTCGTATATTTTTAATTCAATATTTAACGACGGACTAGATTGCTTTTTTATTAGACATACTTCAAGATGGTCTTTCTGCGATATGGTTTATTAATAAAATCGAAGTTTGTTGTTTTTTTTTCAAGGTTAAAATATGTTAGTTTTATTTAAAAACTATAAAGAAAAGTTCATTTTGGTTTTTGTTGATAATTTTACAATAATTTAGTTCATTGAATATAACATCAAATTAGAATTATTAATTTGAGATATATCAAAGAAAAATAAATACTTCTAAATAACTACTGTCATTCTTTTATCCTTGAAATCTTATTATAAAAATAATTCTCAAAACATTAACTATATTAATAAAAATATAAATAAGTCTGGCGCATGAATTTGTTCTTATTGTTTTTTTCTCTGAAACAAAATTTGCACCTTTTTTTTTTTTTTCTTATTATTTCGATGATCGAAATAATTTTTCTTTAAATCGATAATGTATTTTTTAATTGTATAATTCTAAATGTCTTCTCGACGCTCATCACCATTCATGCTTGTGCGTCCATTTCGTGTTCGTTTATCAATTTTAGATCTTCGAACATCTCAATCATCAAATACAAATGAAACATCAATTACAACTTCACTATCACCATCATCACAACGTCGTTCAAATTTGAATAATCCTCTTACACTTAAATTAAATGAATTTCTTATTGAACAAAATAAATATACAACTATAAAAAATAATTCAATAACAATATCAGATCGAGATATACATGATCGAGAAATAATTCAACGATTTCTTCATTCAAATAATGAAATAGAAGCAAGAAAAATTTTAGCACAAATGTGGAAAGAATCACGTTTTTGTGATTTAATGCTTGTTGTTGATGGAAGTGAATATTTAGCACATCGAATTGTTCTTGGTAGGATTTATTGAAAAAGAAAAAATATTCGTTATATATATAATCAAATATTTATGTCAGCTGCATTTAGTCCAAAATATCGGTAAGAGAAATACATCTAATTATCACTTACAGGTGAAGTTTTCCAACTTATAAATCGCTTTGAAATGACACAATGTGCATTCTATTGAACTAAATAAGCTAAGAATATCATAAAAGAGTTCTAGTCCTTAGCTTATTGCTACTAAGATACTGCAATTTTGCAGCATTTTTACATGAAAGTCAAGGTAGCGTTAAAACTGATTTTCGAATTTCGACTTGATACTTTGCATAGGGATAGGTCTTAATAAGAATAGTTTTAGATCTGTTGATTTTGCTTCCATCTTGAAATAAGAACATCAAATCTATAGGTTTATGGAAGCTGTGTAAAGTACACATTATTACTATACTTGTATCTTTGAATAAGAACGGCGACTAGTCATTAAAAATAAAAATACAAAAAGAACTATTCTTGTTAAGATCTGTCCCTATGTAAAGTTTCAAGTTGAACTTCGGAAAGCAGTTTTGGAGAGGAAACACGGTATTCATCTAAAAACTTGTCAGTGTGGCCTCATGAATTCTGTTGAGTTTTGCATATACTTAAAATTCAACTTGTTCCTAATTTTCTATGTCCATCTTCATCTGATTCTGTTAAATCAACAATATCATCACCATACTGATTAATATCTATAATAAGACTCTTTCGCTATATTGAATACGAAAATTCACAATATTTATACTAGTTAGAATGTAGAGTAGAATCTCTTTGAGGTTTTTAGAAAGTTCCAGAATGATCTAATCTCTATTATAACTGATGTAGTTTTTCCTGTTTGCTGTGAACTAAGAGAATGAACTCTTTTAAGAATATTCGTAGTTGATTTAGGTCTACATAATATTGAATCAAAAGCCATTTATTAGTTGAAAGAGTTTCTGTTGTTAGTTTTGATTTTCTTTATTTAGTTTGTTTTTTCGTGAACGTCGAACTGATTTTGTTACACGTACTCATCTTCGACATACATCACATAAAGGTCTTCAACTAGTTTTAAATTTTTTATATACTGGTATTGATTTTATGAGAGAGAAAGAAAAAAAATGTATATAAATATATATATATCTTCAGGTGAATTAACATTAACATTTCGTAATGTAAATGATATTTTAAATTGTGCAAAAGAACTTGATATTGGAAAAATTTTTGAAATATGTGAAGAATTTTTATCAACATTTGAAAAACGTCATGTATTTCGTGTACTTGAATTATCAAGACGTTATGGAATGAAAAAATCTTTTTATGAATCACATTATTATTTATCAAAAAATTTTAATCAATGTATTAATATGAAAAATTTTCTTCAATTACCATATACAACTATTTCAAATATATTAGCTGATGAAACAATACAAAATCGTGATGAAACAATTGTTTTAAGTCGAATTTTAAATTGGATTACATCAAATCATGTAGAAAATAGTCAAATTATAATGCATTTATTTAAAAGAATTCGTTGGAATAAATTAGATTATGAACAACAACGAGAATGGTTAACTGCAAGTCATGAATTAGCTGAAAATTCAAAATTAACATTATTAATTAAAGAACAAATGACGTGAGTTCAATAAATATATATATTATAATCATCAATGTTTGTTTTAAATAATATGATATTATTTATTGATGAAAGATGCACTGAATCAGCATTTTAATAGATATCATTGAGTAACGTTTATTAAACTTCATCTCAACAATTTGTTCATTTAATGTTCATGAAACTTGCTAAAAGCAGTTTACTTCGTGCTAAGAATTTCAAAATGAAATTTTCAACTCGAAATATTGAGTCTATCAAGTATTAGCTTAAGAAGATGGTCTTGCCTTTTCGGACATGAAAATCAAAATGTTTTTGATTTTTGGTATTTCATCGATGATTTAGTTTTGATGTGTCCTCTATGAAATATCATATAAATTGAAGTCTTCATTGTTAGTTAATACATTTCTTAAACCTACATTAATAAATCTGAACTTGGATAATTTGTTACAACATTTCATTGTTAAAGATTTACTGTTTCATTCGAAGAAATTTAAATATATGAGCGATTTAATGCCTCTCGGTTTAATTTTATATATTAAGAATTTTCAGAAATTCAAACATTTATACGAGCTTTAAAAAATACGAAGAGCTCGCAAACAGAATTCATATTACTAATCAATGTTCCTATAGTTTCATTGTTTTCATATATATATGAAAAACATTGAATAAAATACTCTGAAATTATTAGTTGCTCTAAGTCGATTACTGTTATTATTATAGAACAGTTCAACATAGATCTGTTTATTGTATATACCCAATACAAAGATGAAACCGGTAGACCGACCTGTCTAACCTTTTCAGACTAGTATCAGTACTAGTTGTCAAAAATTCAGACTGGTTCTATCTCTATATCAGACATGTGATACAATTTGGCAAATCAAGGTTGCCACGCGATAAACTATATTTTCCATATTTAAACTACTTCTTTTTCTTCCTGTGACTTATTGATGTATCATACGTTACCGGTAGACCGACCGGTCCGATCCAATCTGACAAAGTCAGACCGACACCAGTACCGGTCTGAAAAATTTTAGACCAATTCCATCTATGACCCAGTATAATTTAAAAGACTTTGAAAATAATTCATGACTAATGTATCCTAACTGTTTTCTCGCCTTTGAGCTTATATTTTGTCCAAAAAGTAGAACTCTATAGATTTAAGACAGCTTTGAAGCTATTGATAGTTATGACCTATTAGTCAAAAGTTACTATTGTTTAAATTTTCCTTCAAGAATAAGATATCGACAGTAAAATTAAATAAAAGTATGTCGATCTGAAATTATGTTTAAAATTAAATTCTATTATTTATAGTATGCATGAAAATTTTCAGTTAAAACGCATGCTTTCTCTTTGAGACAACATCTTTCGTGTTAACAATGTTTGATAATTCAATATCTTGAAGAGAAAACATCTGTTATAGCTGAAAATTTCAGTGTATACTAGAAAAATAATAAGACCTAGTTTTGAACACATCTTCAGATCGAACTATCTTTATTTCATTTAGTTGTAGATATATTCCTTTTGGAAAAAAATTCACTCAAACAGCCTTTACACTTGATAAATAAATCACTCGTGCGAACGATGTTAAGGCTATCTTAATTTTCCCTTGAATTCAAGTACTCTCTGGAAATCTCACAATTTCATTTCCCCGTTGATAAGAGGCTCGACAGTAATTTAATTTTCTATTTAAAAAAAAATTTAATTGATTTCACTTCTTTTAGTCTTGCTTATGAAAAATCCAACCGTCGTTCAAGTTCAACATCAAAACCAATTGAACAAAAGTTAAACCTAAACGGTTCTGATAGTCGTCAAACAAATCGAAATAGACATCGTTCTTAATTTAAATTCAATATATAAAACGAATGATCTTCTCTTTATTCAGTTTTTTTTTTCCACAAAATACTAAATATATTACTTATATCTTTATCTGCATAACAATCTTTCAAAAAGAAAAAAAAGACTATCTATCTATAAGTTTTGACAAGAAAGAAAATAAATATAAACACAAAAAAAAAAAAAAATAGAACTCAACAATGATATGAATGCATAAAATAAATAATATCAAACAGATTAATGTTATATCATAACTGACAAAAAAAAAACGAAATTTAAATAGATTCTTCTATAGGAGAATTTGATTGTTGTATATCATTGGAATTAGTTGGTAATAATGGTGAATGTGATCTTGATATAACAAGTTTATCATTACTATTATTGAGTAAATCTTTTGTACGTAATGCACGTAAACGTTCATTTTCTCGTTGTAAAACATCACTTCGTGTACGTTCATCTTCGAATTTATCATTTATAATACGCAACTACAATAAACAAAATAAAAGAAGCAATTTTCATTAAATTTCAAACAACAAAAATAAAAAAAGAAACTTGGTGCGAACGACTGAACAATCAAACTTTTCACACAGTTTGGAACGTTTGATATTTTTTTTGGGATGAGAGAAACTAAAAATTCGATGGAAAGTGCTCCTATCCTAGTAAGAGTGTTAGAAATAATAATTGGGAGATTGAAGAAGAAGAACGACATGCATTTTAGCCCAGTCTTTCTCACAATAGACGACCTATCAAAGAAAAGTAAATGATGTTTCAAAATCTGGTTTCTGTTCGAAGTTACCACGAAACTGTATTATCTTTAATAACTATCTTTGTTACAAAAAAACAAATAAATAATATTTGCAAAAAGAAATAATTATATTTTTTTTCTTACATAATTAAGAACAACAACAATTCTATGATGTTTAGTTAGTTTTTTTTGTGCATGTTTAGAAATGAACAAAAAGAAAATTTACCTCTCGTTGTAATCGTCTTCGTTCTTGTTTTAATTCGTTTTCAATACGTTCTGCATCATCTAATTGTTGTTTATATCGTGTAAGTTGAGCTTCATAACGTATATTCTAATTTAAAAACAAAATTTATTCAAAAAAAAATCAAATAAGCAGAAAACAATAGAGGATAAAGTTTGTATTCCTTGAATTATTTGTTCTTTCAATAAAAAAAGTGAAAATATCGGATGTACTCTAACAAAATGATTGACTTTTTGTTTTTTTTTTAGATACAGAACATGTCAAAAATCACTAGACTAATAATGTTTGTAATAAATACAAAGTACCCACGCTAAATAGTGATTAGTATATACAAACAAAGATTCAATTCAATGTCTATTAGCATGTAGGAGAAACGGAGGTGAAATTGTTCCTTTTTTTTTGCATAGAGTTCGATTTTGAGAAAAATTCAACGTTGATTTTCTCCTAAATACTCATTCTTTTTAAAGTTTTCAACTCTTACACAACAATATACTTCTTCTTAACTATATCTCACATTAATTACTAACAGAAATAATGAAAAATTCTACAAAATAAATCATTCTAAAGATACTGACTACTTAACAAACAATTAGCAATAATTTTGAATATAAAAAAATTAGCTATTCTATTAAAAATAAGTCTTAAGTCAAAAATCTTTGATTTCATGATATTGATCGTATCTCAAAATGAAGTCGAACAATATCTTATGCATTTCGATATGGAACTTTAGCATAATCATATGCTAAAACTAAGATAGCTATATGAATAGATTAAACGCAACAAGGTAATATGTTGGAAAAAAGTCGAGTTTTGTTGAAATAGAGGGATCTCGAAAATAATTTTTCACGGATCAAAAAGCTGTTAAAAGAAGTTTGTTGTTTCAGATCGATTAAGAAAACTTTTCAAAAAAACTTTGGTTTTCATCGGATGTCTTGAATAGAAATATATTACTTCTTGTTGTAATGATCCATTATCAGCAGATAATCGTTGTAGTCCATTATTTAAATCTGTTATTTGTTTTATTAATTGTTCTACAAAAGAAATAAACTTAATTTTTCTTCTGATTAAATATATTTCTATACTTTGTTGTTCACAATCACAAGCATTATTTATATTTTGATTATGTAAATCAATTGAATTTGGTATATGTTGTTTTAATATTCTTAAATGATGATTTGTTTCATCTAATTCTAATTTTAATCTATTGATTTGTTCAATTTGTTGATGTTTTTCACTTAATATTTTTTTTAATTTTTCATTAATCGATCGATTAGTAAAAGAATTAGATAATAGAAATGATTCTTGACATTTTAAATCAATTGATAAATATTTTTGTTGTTCATCAATATAAATTTCTATTTCTGATTCCTATAAAATTTTGCATAGAAACAAAAAAAAAAAAAAAAAGAAAATTTTTAAAAATCTTTTTATTTACTTGAATTAATTTTTCACAATTATTTAAAATTTCTTTTAATTGATTATTATTATTTTGTAAATCAATTAATGTTTGTTTTTGTATATCAAAATCCTTATAGAAAGAAAAAAGATAAGAGTGTCATTTGATTTAATTTAATAAATTTACTTTGCATTTATCTTTTAATTGTCTTTTAGTTTGATTAAATATTTCATAATGTTCATCTAATATATCTTTATATGTATCAATTTGATAATATAATGCTTGTTTTTCATTATACATCCTTGAATTATTAATCATTAAAGATTTATATTTTGATTCAAATTCACTTAATAAACGCTACGAAAGTTCGAAAACAAAACACGTTAGAAAACAAAAAAAAAATTACAAACTCTTAAATCACGTTGTTCAATTGAACGAAGATCAATATCACCATTAAGAAATTTTTGAAATAATAAAGAATTTGTATTTGTTTCTACTGTACCATTCATATTCATCATGTAAGACTAACAAAAAAAATTAAGTTTTTTTATTTTTCAAAAAAAAAAAAAATTGTGTTTGTAACTATTTACTTTATTTGATTCTATTGTTGTCAATGGACTAAGTGGAATTGTTAATGAATTTTCATCATCATCATCATCCTAAATGATTGATTATAATTTAATGTTTGTTAAATATAGAAGATAAAAAATAAATATATACATTTTGTACACTTTTTTCTAATTCTTTATGTCGAATTTGACGTGCTTCACGATTTTGTTCACGTTCATGTTGAAGACGAAGTTCAGCCTTGATAAGAATATAATATATTATAATCAAAGAAAAAACTAAATCCAAACTTCTTTTGCAATATCATCAAGAACATATTCTTCAGTAAATGAACTATTGATTTTAGTTGAAGAATTCATTACATGATTCTTTTCAAAAAAATCATAAATATACTCTTTTGAAGATTTATAAAAGATTTTACTCGAATCTTTTGATGAAAATTTTCAAATAATAGACAAAAATAAATGAATAGAAATAGATAGACAATAAGATTTAAGAACATTTTATTGGTACAAAATTCATTTATTTTGACCTTCTACAAACATTAAAATTTTCATTTCAGAATTCCAAAGATAATTTGAAAAGAAATTTACAAAGTAAAACTCATTTTGATAATATGTATTGTATTATCTACATTGACATAGATGTCACTCTCATTAATGATTAAATAAATAAAATTTCATTGAAATAATCAATTTGAAATATGTCGTTTTTCTTTGACTTATTCATCTTTTAATGTATATATTTCATTGTCTATTCTACAGTATTGCTACCGTGTATCATTTATTATAATGTATACCTTCATTTAAAAAATCATATCACTTTGAAGGTATATATATCAATAAAAAACCTTGTTTCGATTACCATTTCTACATTTTATTCTCTAATGGTTTGTATAACAAAACGAGACATATATAAAATCAAGTATATTTATTCATTGAACGACGTTTTGTCATGTATCAACACTGTTCACCATACTATTATGCACCACATTATGCTCATATGGGTCTCGATCGACGACAACAATTATCTCTTAAAGAAATTCTCTGGCGTCGTTCATGGCCATGTGTATTTACTGTAGTATTAGCATCATTGATGCTTATATTAATTGTAATTATATTTAGTCTTGAAGTTGCAAGTTTATCATATGATTATTCAAATAATTTATCTAATACAGCTTCAACAGGAGCTGGAATTTGGTGTTCAATATTCTTCGTAATACCTGTTATTTTTATGTATCTTCTAGGTAAATTTTTAGAATTTATTTTTCAATAAGAAATATTTGTTTGTTTTTAGTATCTGCTTATCATAGATCACGTATTTGGTCAACTTATACTCTTATAACACATTTAATTGCACTTGTATTTATTTGTATTTTAATTGGATTAGATGCAAATGCAGTTACTCCTTATAATACAATGGTAACAACAGCTCCAACTAAAATAAAAATTCTTCGAGGTCAATTAGCTGCGGCAGTATTAATGTTGCTTTTTCCATTCGGTTTCATAGGTGCTTATATTTATACAGCATTTATGTCACTTCTTACTCTACGTTCTCATCCGCAAGCAATACATCCGCCTGTTCCAGTTCTATCAGATTTCGTTAAATATTAATTTCTCTATTTAAAATAAATATGTAATAGACTCAATTGTTGACATATAACCAGTGTAAAGGTATATCAAGTTCGTTATCTTTATATCAAAAGAGCATAGATATGTATATATGTATATCTATGCTCTTTAAATCAATTTTTAATAAAATTGAATAGTGAAAATGAAAATTTCGAATCTTTATGCATTGGATCAAGTTCATAATGATTTTATTTCTTGGCATTAATTGGTTTAAATCGTTTAATAGACGAGAAATGCATTGAGAATATGTTTTTTTTTTTTCGATGATCTTCTCTATAAAACTAACAAAGCCAACAATCATAATCACAATTACAACTACTGAAATGACTATAGTTAATGTTATAATAGAAGTTTTTCTACTCGTATGCAATGCAAAAGTCTTTGCAGAAATGTTAACATCCATAGTTCAGTCATTTTTCAAGCTAC